CTTTTAATTTAGTTTACACTTTATTTTGCTTGCTTTCTTCATTCTTTTTTGCAAAGTAATCTATGAGAAGTATTAAAAGATCTGTATCTTTATACCAGCTCAGGGCCAAGGGTCTCTATAAACTTTTTAGGAGATTCAATACTATCAAACTCTGCAAATATGCATGCCTTGAATGCTTTGTGTAATGTTTTTCTCATCTGAATGTTTTGTGCTTGACCTTTGTCTTCTAATCTTTCTTTTATGTCACTAAAGGTTGCCCGAGTTGGGAAACCTTTCATATAAACAACTTTGTTTTTGCATCATTTTTTATACTCATCAGTCATCAGAGAAACATTTTATGCTCATCAGAGAGAGGTTTGTTTGGAGATCTTCTGATTTTAGTTTTATCTTCATTATTTCTATGAATTCTGCCTTTGATTTGTTCAGTGTTTCTATTAAAGTTTGTTGTTAGGTAGTTTAACCTGTTGAGTTTTATCATCTCCAGAGGTACCAGCTTTCATCCAGTTTGATCTGTTCCTTTTAAAAAATAGTCCCGTGGCAAATTAACGTCACCAAATAATACTTGATTTGGTGATAGATTTTGGTCTCCAGAGCAGCCATTTTTTTCACTGTCACCATTTTTGGCTGTTATGGTGCCTTCCTGGTCCCAATGCCCCGGAGCTGGGCTGCAGGATCACTAGCAGTGACTACAACATCTCAAGTTCATATTAAGGACTGAATGTTTGTTTACTTGCATTATCAGGTAGTTTAGATTATTCTTACTGGAAATAGCTTAATGAGAGAACATTAGTGAATCTTTTTTGGGTCTGACTTGTGTTCCAGATGTTCTTCTGGTTGAAGGCTGGCTGCATCATCAAATGATGTGCATTCCAGATACTCTCCAGTTAGACAACTGGCTGCATTGTCAAATCTGGGTGCTATGTTCTAACAGCTTCTAGCACATTCCTCTCAAATGCTATTGTCTCTTCTCTCTATGGTTATCTTATGGACTCATACTCTTCTTTAAAAAATTAGCATCATTTTAAGGGGGATTTGGGAAGGAGAGCAAATAAATGCATACAGTCAATGTCATTGAGTGGAAGTTGATAAGTTCTTTTTACTTGCTCTATAAAGAGAGAATAAGTGAATCTTTGGGGTAAAGTCTTTAGTGAAGGTCAGTGGTAGAACCACTTCTAAAATAAAAAGCATGAAACACATGAATTCAGGGGCTATGAAAAGGGCAACTGTAACCTTAGGACTGTGATAGTAAAGTCATCTATTAATATTTCAGTAAGAGTAACTTAAGTGTGTGTAGCATGTGTATTAGGTAGTAGAGTGGAAGGAACACTTGACTGATGGGTATTAGGTGATCTGAGTTTGGGTTTTGGTTATTATTGGCTACATGCCTTTGAGAGACTGAAACTCTTGGAGGATCCTTTTTTTAGAAAGCAAAAACAAACAATTGCCTCGCTTTAATCTAGGGGTAGTTGTGAGGATCATGTAGAATTATTTTAAAAATTATAAAGTGCTATACAAAAGTTAAGAATTATTTTGTAGGCGATGAAAATGAAACTGTTGGGTTAGAATATACTGTGAGTCATATTTGAAATTAGGTCATTAATATGGGCTGTCATTAAAATATCCA